CTTTAACCCTGATTTACTTTTTTTAATCCTAAATCTAATAAAGACATCTAAGGTCATATTCATACTTTCCTTATAATGTACGTTGTGAGTCACCGATTCTTATAACCTTTACAAAATCCTTTTCTTGCATTATAAGAACTTCATGGAGGTTTATTGTTGATGGTGTCCGAACCTTACTGGAAAGTTAAGTGATTTGCAAAACAAAGCTGGGAACAGGCGAAACTGAATGCTAGCTATGTAATGCATGAGCTATTCTCTTTTGAATCATAAAGAGGTTGCTTGAAATATCAATACCGATATCTCATCGCTATGTTATGACATAACGGGTTGATCAAGTTACCTAAACTTACGCTAAACAATTTTCTTCACCCATCTTTTTTACTTCGAACAAATCGTACTACATTTTGGGACTTTTGAAAGGCTGTGGATTTTTAAATCAGCGCATCTTTTTTTTCCTTTGAGCTCGATGGTTATAGAGACTTATCCCAGTAAGCACTTTAAAATGCTGGCACTACCCAATAAGTAAAAAAAGTCTTCCAAATCAGTCTGCTTTCCAAGCGCAATCAGTTTCAGACCCATAAATTATGTTCTAGTACTTATTTTCTGACACTCAGTGTGTTAAAAGCTTTCTAAGTCTCAACCAGCCACAATTATGCAATATTTCTGCACTTCTGATAATCTTCGTTGCGTAAATTCGCCGATCTTCACCCAGTTTAAGCTGAGGTTTAAAGTCAACATCATCGCAGACTAACGTTAATTATCTTCATGAGTATTAGCTGCCTCCGAATTCACGTCTGTCTTCTTTAATACATCGGCCCCTGACCCAATGACTGATCCCAGTAAATTGAAACCTTCCAAATGGTGTAACTGTGTAAATGCAGGAATTTCGTTTAAAAGAGCCTCCTAACCACCAAATTTTGATGTTACTACCTATTGCAAGAGGTCACTACTAAGACTAGATATCACCAGTAAAGTGTGGACCAAAATTTCTTAACACAGTGCCCATATAAAAGGTCACCATTACCTATTCTTAAAAATGCGTTTGATATTGAAGGTGTACCTGCCATCCTCTTGACAGCTTCCTGCAGCCACTTCTATGTAATCTGTAAAGTAGCAGTGTAAACCTGGTTAGTTGTTTAAGAGTTTCACTCTCTCACAGGAAAACTGTGATTTTGTCGAAACCTTCGATATTCCAATAGGTATTTTGACTCATCAACTCTGAGAGACTCTAAGGAGAGGTACAAATGCACTCGTATTTCTCTGTTGGTCGCAACTCATCTGCTAGTGCAATAATTGGTAACTAACTTCTGTTTAATGTCTTCGGTCAGTCAATTAGAGAGTCATTCTTGCACACACTCCTGTACAATACACACACACAAGCCAGTGTAAAATGTCAAATACAACGGACTGAAGTCTTCTGTTTACCTGAAATTTCATCATCACTTCTCAGAATTCACGGCAAGCCACTCGGCACCCTTGACTTTCAACTCATGGCATTGCAATATAAGGAAAACTCACAAATTCACTTGAGGATTCAGCATTAATTCGTGTGTAAATATTACGGATATAAACAGCACCATAACAGCACATTATTTTAGTCGTAATAAATGGAGTTACTACAGGCTATTGCATTTATTCTTAGTTTGGAAAAACCCATTGTGACCATAAAGGCAAAATATTGCTACTTGGCTGTATTCACCTCCGAATCGACTTCACCACTAAAACTGATTCTTAAACCAATCAGGTCATTTGTTTCTTGTGTAATTTTACGAGTTTTGCGTTGTAATTTCTTGTTTGTATTCCATCTATAACACTATCTTACTGATTTAGCATAAGGCTCATCGTTATTAACCATTCGTCTGGTGTCTAACGGCTTAAATTATCGAGAAGACTTCACTCAACACGTAGATAAGAGTCAAAGTGCAAGCTTGTACGCATGCGTTATTCATCCCTAGGCTAAAAAGGCCCGACCGCTGGGTGCACCATTGCGTACTAAACTAGATCAAACCCTATGCAGCATTATCTACTCTTCACTACTTTAAGGATGCCCAATTTTGGTTCTTTCTACCCCAAAGCCATTCATTGTGGTGTACTGGTCTTCCTGTGCAAGGCCAAAGCCATGATCCCGTATTGATGGGGATTTAGAGGTGAATAGTCTGCTACGTTTTACAAAAATGGTCTGTCTACACGCTACGGAACTCATTAAATAAATTTCGGTTTTAATCAAGCTAAACTTTTTAACCCCAATGTGCGGATTGATGTTGTCATCAACTCAAACAATTATTTTTACTTAACATTAATAGTAGACAGATGTAGCTATCACTGCGGATGGATAGGATAATTGCAACGTGGTACTACACCGCGTGGGCAATTTTATTGCTTTCAATCAGGCTTCACCAATAAGCAAGATTTTGTTAACATATAGACAGGAAACAATGTGACCCAAAACTACGAAACAGATTGAAAATACAGGAGTTTAAAAGGCTGGGGTTAAAAGAGATGCGGAATGTTGTCGAAAGACACCGCAAATAAATTCACTCACAGACGTAAATCAAGCACAAAGAAATGGCCATTTTACCTTCCTTTGGATTATACTTGTCTTACTCCTAACCTCACGATTTCAGCTAATTCCCATGTCTAGAAGGACATGTTGAATTGCAAAGTTTCGTTTGGAGATAACTGACCAGCCAATCGATGCCTGTTCTACTTGTTTGTCTACATGGAGGAATACTTCAAGTTTAGTTTTCAATTTTCGTATTATCATAGAATTTATAAAATCAATCTGAAATATCGAAATGTTGGGAAAAGATTAGCTACTCCGAATCGAAATTCTTTCTTCCTTAATTGAAAGAAAATATACTAATTTGCATTTCTTTTTATGCTTGGCATCGACATGCATTGACTCAAGAATGAATCGCTGAATAAATTTTGCTACTACTTTGAGAAACAATTGGAAATGAGATGGTCCTTGAACCACATCAGGGCCGCAGAATTGTTCAAGCCCAGTTACGTAATGCGGATATCTTGGAAGATTAATAAGACCAGAGGAGACGCAGGAGGAACCGTTTTAATTGATGCCTCAATTCAGCTGTAAAGTGTACTTGTCAAGTCCTTGTGCATACAAGGTCCTGGATTTTCATAAGTTACAAACGCGCAGAGGGGAAACATGATTTCTTGAAGTGTCAGCCAATGGAGATCGACTGAACGAGTAGATTTACAAGTTCCTGAATGATAAGTGGTTATCGTGGGAGGAAAATTGTAGACAGGGGACTTAATAATGGTATTTATGGTCATGAATCAACAGGGCTAACTATTCGTGCTCAATTTAATCACCACGGTCGCTCAATTCATAGATTTTAGTTTATTGAATACGTCAACAACATGCTTACTAACTTTGATTTAATCAGTAGAACATTTACAACTAAAAGGCCTTTGTCCACGGCCTACCTCACACGCAAGCCCGGACACAGCCACACACCAATGGCGCTGGTCAATCGAAAGCCGGCTGGTGTGTTAGTGGATGTTCGTGGGCCAATGAAAGCTTGTGCAGGCCAGCATTTCGAGTTTTTGCACACACTTACGCACACGATCACCCGTTAATTTCACCGCTAACGCAGCATCTGCGAGCACCGTGCATTAGCCCAGTCCCGAGTAAATTGATTGTAAGTCGGAACTGTTTCAGATATCCTTCACTGTAGCAGCCACTAATTTCGGCAGCGACGCATCTATTGCGGCTCTGGAAACAGAGGTTCGGCTGATGCTAACACCGTAATTATAGCCAAATTGGAGAAATATATTTATCCAGGTGCAGCAAACGATTTTTATAATTTATTAAGACAATATATCGAACAAGAGTTTTCATTACTTTATTTTTACTTAATGTATTACAGGAATCTTGTGTATAAGGGAAGTATGGGCATGTTACTTCAGAATAATCAGACTCTATCCATAACTTTGATTGGTTTCGTCGTCTGTCTCATGGCCGTAGGTTCTGCTGCAAACTAGGTGTCATGGGCTTGGAAGTTGGTAGCTACTTTTGGTGGTAGTTCTTTTTCGTGCTTAAAAATAAGTATTTCTTATTTGTCCGCTTTACCAAACGAGCAAATCACTACTGTAATGCATCCACACCTGATTCTTTAGCTCTTACGAAGGCCACAATTCTGATGGGCAATGTTCCGGGTGTGGTAGGTCACTGGTAGACGTTGAATACACGCCAATTCATTTCTAACAACTTCATGATTTAGGATTGATGTCATGGTCTGGCTGAAATTTAGTCATAAAGACTTCCGCTTGCTAACCAATGGCCCAGAATAACGCTATTCGCGTAATTGTCACCTACCTTTAAGAAGCCATTGTTAATTGGTCACACCTAGAACACATGGGCTGGTAGATTTCAAAGCGATTACCCACGAAATTCTCGAACCTAATATTTTATATTAATGCCTGTACACTTTAGTCAGTGTGAGTATTTACGTCTCTTGGCTACCTTGGAGAATTTAACCTGAACTTGATTTGGCACCAAGACGACTATCCTATCTACAAAACTGCCATGTAGTTCGACATAATGGGTGACCTGGAGCATTATACGTTTATTCTTCCTCGATTTTTCAATAACACCCAACTCGTCTTACCACTTCGATCTTTCGTAGGTTCAATTTGTAACCAAACTTCTTCTGTGTCCAAAAATTTCTAGCCAGATGTGGTCTCATCTTGTTTTGACATACCTTTGGACCGTGGTCTGTGGTTTTAAAGTGAAATAATCGACTTATTTGGTGCTCTTTGGATAACTGGAATTTCTCATTGAGACTACAGATGTCCCTATCGGCCCATGTGTGCTCCCGTTCAGTTATCCACTTTTGAACTACCAACACTCAAAGTATAATGATTACATTAGAAAATGCGACTCAGCTGTTGACATCCCTTTGTGCTTTATTTTAGGTAAACCACAGGAAAAATAGGCATTGAATGTCTACCTTCGTGGCAAACCAGTAGTGCACAAAATGCAGCTTACCCCGACACCGCTGTACTTTGCTCTCCTTCTTGTGGAGTTCACTACTGGTGTTGTGGGGCAACTCAACCTCTGGGCCGATAGGCGACTTGTAGCCCGAATAATCGAATCCATTCCGCCGAACGGCAAGGACTATTCAAGTCTCAAGTGCCCTAGGCAGCGTCCAGATATAACCCAACACAGTAAGCCTTGTTCTAACTCACTCTATGAACACAATACGAAAAGCAATGCCCTAGTATTGTAAGTATTGTGACTGTCGTTGAACGCTTCTACAGGCATTTCCTAATCATCAATAAGCCCAACGTGATCTAAGCTGTGCGGCTCAGAATTTTGAGTCTTGCTGTACGCGCATAATATCAGTGTGGATGGATAGATTCCCTCATCGAACCTTGATCATCCTCCTTTAGGCGCTCAACTTATACTGAATAGCTCCATTAGACAAAAACATGCCTCTGCATTCTCATACATTTTTAAAGGATGGCGATCTCGCTTTTTCGTCCATAGGGGATTTGTGAATATAAAACAGCGTTATGCTTGATTATACATCTGATGCATGTTCATTCATGTAAATTTGTATCCAGTTCCACCGCAGCTCTTCCTCGTGCTGAATGGTCATATTCTGCAGGAGGTATACGACAAGATTCTCCACAGCGTTCACAGACCCTTGCCTCCGCAGATAGAGATTATTCGCCTGAAATGGCGTGCTGGTCTTGAAAGGGTGAGTGTAAATGTGTAAACACAGCAACTACGTGTAGCTCAGGTCGGTGTTTAGATACCACAAATGCAGAACGACACTTTAACAAGATCAACCAGACTGTCTGATGAAATGACACTCTAACAGCAGTTTCTTCTAGTTATCGGGACGCGATCTGCGGCTGCGTGAAACGGTTTAGTCTTTCAAGCACTGTCGCGTCCCACGAACCCCTAAGGTGGATCTTCAAGGCTCGAGAAATTCCGCTTATCGTTTATAAGAAGTGTTGACTAATGAAACCTCAGGTTTTATACAGCAAAAATAAACCCAGATTTTAAGTTGGGCGACCTGGTGTATAATCCCAGTTCAAACCGGGTTTCCCAAAACGTCGTATTACTTTATTCTATATCAGATTATTTCAACACCCCAATTAGACCTATTTTCCTTTAACCGCTACTGTGATTTCCGTCGCCTTTGCAGTTTTCTTAACATCTCTCACGTTACAACATCGATAGTCCGCGATGTGAGACAGCGTACTCACCTTCTCTAGCTCTTTTCGTTCTCCTAGGCTCCCCAAAAGCCACCTTCTAGCATTTTCATTCAACGAGGTAGTTAAGGCAAGGAGTGTTAAACAAAACCACTACCCTTCTTCCCCTTTACTCAGCAGACGTTTAAAGCTGTGGTTAGCGCATGAGCATTTTAATGTCACAACTCTCAGACGCCAACAATCTGTCTTTATGAGTAATGACTGAATCGAGGGAAAAATTCTCCTTTATCTCAAATGTGCCACCCTCTCCCCCTTGCAAGCTACATGAATCGTATTTGTATAAAGCTCCACTAAAATCCTGAAAAGGGTGTAATTCAGTTCCCGAACCATCTGACTTGCTATTCCACTTTGCACTGAATACGCCACTCAATACGCCATAATCTCTAAACGTGTATTTGCTTTCAGCTGACTTACAATATCTCCATGGTCTCCTTGAACAAGACCCTACTTTTCGACCCTCTCTTGAACGTTGCCAACTACGGGATAGTTCCAGCTATGGAATCAGGTAAGCGCGTATCTTGAAGAACCTAAATAATGCGGGAAAGCGACTGCTCTATTTGATCACGGGATACGATTGCACCCGTTTAAATTATCTAAGACTGCCGATATTAAGCCAAAATCTCTTTATGATGCCACTTCAAGGGCCTGGCAGCTGATAATCAACAGAGAAGTCAACAAACATCACCTGTACATGACAGCTATTGCTGGATTCTAGTGATAAAACCGATGAAAGCTTCATGAAATTTCTACTGAGACCATAATAACTCTCCTTGTTTAGTAATATGGCGCTCACGACAAACCAAGAACACGGAATGTGAGCCAAAGGTTTGAATGCCCCAGCGTTTGCGATCTTTTTTCCAATATGACGCTACGAAAAACTTACAAATGCAATACGCAATATGCTGGAACACGGTGACCACTCATTCATACACACTTAGCACCAAACACGTTCTTTACCATGGGTTACTGAGTTCTGGGGAATATTCAATGACCCTGTTTACTGTATTGTTCAGATGTACAAATTACACTTGCCTGTACAGGTAAGATGACAGGATTTGCACCATTCAAGCTTTACTTGGACGTGAGGCGCGAATTCGAGGGGCTTCGCAAAATTCCTCGCATCGATTTCGTCGCTCAAAAGTACTGCCTCAGCAAAAGTAAGCGTTTTGGCTGAGCCTTTCAACTAAACAATTTGGACCAATTAATTTCACATTAATCAAAAGTATCGATGCAGCTTAACAGCGCCAACGATGGGTCATATTTTATCATGCCGGAAGGATAGTCCAGGTAGTTTGTGAAAGACCCAACGTATGTCAATTTCCGTTTGTTTGAGCTAAATCGACGAAATGGAGCAATTCCACAACCGCAAAGAACGTAACCGCAACGCGGATATCGCGCCCAATCTTTCACGCCTATCATTTTAGAGAGGTCCAAGAAGTTTCATATCAAGTGCGACTGTCGGGCCCAATGCCAGAAACTCTTCCCACCCTCATACTTTAGCAAGCCATACAGGACCAAGTGCAATCAACAATGTCGACGTGACTTGAGTTCGCAGGGTGGCGGAAGTCGGTACAATTACTACTTCCACCACAGCCAACGACAGCACATTGAATGACCCCTCTTCTCCATGGCAGCAGAGCCGAACATGAATCTGTACAGCTTTAATTTTTGTACCTTTTAACACCCCTTTCATCAATTCACCCATACAAAGTCTATTGTGAAATTCTAAGCCTAGATGAGTACGATTATGGGGTACCCGACAAACGTAGTCTCTAGGAACTCCCACTTTAGGACCGAAGCACACTATCACGCCCAAAATGACGAAAAAACCACGTAATACTCGACGCTAAACCATTAACAGGACCCATCTGTCTGGAATAGACTTAATCGCAGGCCAGTCAACCCGATGCTGCGACAAAATCACGGAGCGCAACTCTCGCGTGCTAAATGGCATTGGCAAATCCGCCTGACCACTCTAGTTGGCGAATTGATACCTCTGACGTCGGCTTGATCATTTCCAACGTCTCATCCACAAAACGCTTTCCCTTCACCCCGACATTTAACGTCTGGTCAACAGTGACGTGACACGAAAACTGCCAAGGGTTTGCCGATCTTAGTTCACGTACATTGAATGATCCTCTTGCTAAGGTTTGACAGCACCGAGGACCCCACTGGATTTTACATGGCTGTGGGTACACACAACCACGTTCCTGATGGGAAATCGTGCTCTTGCGGTTGATCCATGGAATCCCTCGCGCATTTAAACTCAATTACGTTCTAAAATGGGGCTAGACATTTTTGGAGCACAGCTGGTAAAAATTTGCACGGTAGATCGCCCTACAAGCCATTTGCTTGAAGTCATTAGCGAGAGGCTCAGAATGCGCGAGGCGTTACTGAACTCCGGCCGACGACATGGATCAGCAAACCACCGACAAAAAATAATCTTTCATCAACCCAACAGGACCCCCAAGTAGAAGTAGGTTACATTTGCTGCAGTACCGATTCCGCAACTGGGCCACCATTTGGCGTATAGCTTATTTTCACACGACTGAGATTATTACCAACTGGAATAAAACTGGTAGTAAGACTTAACAGTATGGTGGTGCGCTTAAATATTTTTGTCTGGAAAGGTAGTTGTGGCGGAATGATAGCAAAAGCAGTCAAGTTGTCATGGTGGCAAGATCTAAAAATTTGACAAAAAAATTGAAAACTAACAACAACCCACTGGCTTTGCTGGCAATGGTAATAGGTATAAGAAGCGTACTTTGGTAGTGGCAGGACGATAAGGAACGGGGAGCCCGAAATATCCGACAAACCCACCCGGGGAAAACAATGACTTGACAGCACTCCAGAGAACACTTGATGAAATAAAAGGCACAAAGCCTGGAATAAGAAACACAACAATGGGGAGCGGTGGCAACGACAAAGGGGGAACCTGCGTGGTCTATTTACAAAACCATTAAGGGCCAAAAGCTATTTTGAATGAATTAACTTTAAAGAACCGCCAAACAAATGAAAAACGATGCCAAATTGCACAAAGCAACGAACACAGCGTCGACGACGATAAAAATTGTTAACCACCACTATCCGGAAAAAGCAAAGTACACAGAAACCATTTATTGCATAACCTTAACGGTAAGACTTCTGGTAGCGAGCACGGGCACCAGGACCACCGAATTTCTTTGGCTCACAGTGACGAGGATCGGCAACAACCAGTGTCTTATCGAACTCAGCAAGAGTATCCCGCAGACTCTTCCGGGAATATTCATCAACAAATTTCTGGTGGAAGGCAACAACCGCCTTTGCAAGCGCCTGACGTATAGCGTACACTTGGGCGACTCGACCGCCTCCACTAACACGAATTCTAATATCCAAGTGCTCAAAACGCTCCTGCCCAATGAGCATTATGGGCTCGAGGACTTTGGGCAGAAGAGGCTCGGGTTGAAGGAGCATCAATGGACGTCCGTTAACACGAATCATACCATTACCGGACTTGCACAGTGCAACGGCAGTAGCCGATTTCTAAGAAGTATATAAAATTTACTTAAATCTCACCTTACGACCAAAAACCTGAACGTACGTTTTCGGAGGAGCCATCAGAAATAACCACGGTATAGCGTTTTTCAAGTACTGCGCTTTCGGAATTAATCAAACAAACATTTAAATTTACTTCAAAATGATTTATAAACTAAAGCGTATTTTGCTGCAGAAATGCAATTAAGTTATAAAACCATAATTTTTCAGTTTTTAATTCATAATGTATAAATTTTGAAATTCATTCAACATTGTTAAATAAATTCACTTAGCAAATGAAGTGCCCACAAAATATATAAAAAGTTCAAGCATTAAATCATGTAAATTACTAAATCGCTTGCTATCTAGGCATTAAACTATTTTTACTTTGCGAATACAATTCCTGCTTAAGTGTCAGTGGAAAAGTAGACATTAGTCGCTCAATTTAGAAAAATAATATGATCAATTAAGAAAATTCATTGTCAAAAGTTTTCTTTTTTACAAGAAACCTGCGTAATAAGAATTCAAAATTAATTTCAAACATAACATCGTAGTTTAAGCTGTGAAAACGTTAATACTTAATTGGATACATTTTCATTTTTTAGGCACCAAATGCAAGACTTCTGAGTTGGTAACAAACCATTTTATGTACATTAGGGAGACAAAACGTTTTTGTGGCATTCATACCTTAAATAATAGCCATAACCCATGGGCGCCTAACTGAATATCACTTTTAATAATCATAACCTTCGAACCAATAGGAAGCAAAATGGAAGAAAGATTTCAGTCACAGTCTGGGTAAACGTTGTAGGGTTAATGCAGAGTATTTATATAGCCCATTAATATCTTCCTGTTCTTCTGTTGGTCCGTTCGTAGGCGCTGCAGTGGAGACAGAAAATTTGCGAATGAGTTGCCTCCTCGTTTCCTGTGCGCTAATAAACACTAAGATGTGTAACCAATACCATTCGACCCACGCACACCAATCTAACTTGTTCTTTTCGCCATCCCGCTTTTCTTACGCTGACCCTCCTAATGGCCATCCTCTGCCATCTCCAACTCTGACTTTTTACTTCAGCTGCATTTTCATTCTGTAGTATGGAATACACCTGGTTTTCCCTGTTACTCTTTTATCATATGCCTGTCAGTCAACCTTGATGGAGTAGATATCTTAGTGGGACAAACTAACAGTATCGTTTCATTTAGGCGCTTGCAGGGTAGGCACGTTAAACATAGCGCTATGAAGCCGAAGCCGCGCATTCGACTACTTGACTCCGCCTCCACGCCGTGCTGTCCCATTTGACCAATGACTGCGGGCCATTGATGTTAAACCTAGCTAGATTATTTTAGAATTCCTATTGACAACTTAAGTAATAATCAGCGTATCTCTGGTTCAATTTATTATGTAATAAAGACAGTAAAATTTTGGAATCATAGTTATCAGGACCAATGACTATAAGTGCGCTTTTGGTCGAAATAAGAGAGGCTTAATGCGACATAATCCAAGGAAACCGCTCATTATTTGACATCCGGATTTGACCAATCACAGTTAAACATCGGGACGAACCTTCATTTGAACGGGCAAAGTTGGCAGAGGTTTGTACTGTAGAGGGCCCAAGCCCATTTATGGAGAAAATCAGTATGACAGAGCGGGCTTTATTAATCAACACCAAACCGGAACAGTCTGCCATCCATGTCTCTGGCTACCTGCTGATATTCAACGTGGTCATTTAGGCACAGACAGAGGATTGGCTGAACTAGTCTGCTCCAGCGTGGGCCACTACGTGTGCCTGCCCCCGCACGGTGCTAAATACACGAGCCCTAGAATGAAGACTGGCACAACAGATTAGGCTTTATTGACCAATCACAAGCCAGAAGCACATGTCATGCGCCGTCAATCCGAGCCCTCCACATAGGCTGCAACACTTATTATATACTTCCTCTCATGCGTGTGTCTCCGGTTAGCTACGTAACGTCCTTCAAGGCCATTCGAACTCAAACAGACAGAGGATTGGCTGAGACCGGCATGGTCTAATGTCTGCGGCCTAATGCGCCGCTATAGTAGCGGATGCGTTTGAATAACGCGGATTGAACCCCAGCCCTTTCCTTATAACGGACAACAGAGGCAAAGACCCTTAAATGTCACCTGAAGGTGTCAGGGCGGTTCATTCGATGTCAAATACACCAAATCCATAGACATTGCCCGGGATTGGGAAATACTGCGTCTAAAGAGGCATTGGCAACTCAGCGAAGACGACAGAATGGTAGAAGCCAGTTGGACTCCAAGTGGAGAAGGAACCTACGATGGATGAAGCGGCTTTCCTGCAAGTCAACAATAGCAGTCCTTCATCTAATATTTGCTTGGGCCACTATCCTGTCAGATGTGCAATATCGGGGAATGTCGAAGTGGATATTTCATCAGTCATAAACAGTACGAGGAATTAGGCCAGAAGCTGAGAACAGCTTCCCCTCTTAAGGGGGAGGCAGTTTAGCGACGTATAAGAGCGCGGACATATTGAACCACACTGGCCTCAGCCAATCCTCTGTCTCTCTGTGTTCCAATGGCATGCGAGGAAGATAGGCAGCCAACCAGAGACACGAATGGGGAGTAGTATATAATGAGCGGCGTAGGCAGTGTGCTTGACTCGGATGGATTGCGCCTGACGCGTGGTTCTGGCCTGTGATTGGTCAATAAAGCTTGTTGTTTGCCCCAGCATGTGGTCTTGAACCACGCTGGGGCCACTGAATTAACCCTGGCCCGATTACGCTTCCCTGATACTCGCGATGAAGACCGGGGAGAACGTGGACACAACCGTTTACTTCAGAGCTCCACCACGTTGGTGTCGTGTTGTGTGTGGAGTTTGCGCGTGTGTATTCATACTTCAGATGTGGAGGCTTAGATGCGCTAACATCGCTACCTAGGTGCGAGGATAATCCACGGTATATATTCGTGAGAATGAGGGGGGAGCTGATGATTAGCGCAGCTGCCGACATGCTACGGAAAAGAGAAACCCTGTGTCGGTGGTGAAGCGGTGTCGGTTTCCCTATTCTTCGTATCAATAAGGCGACCGGCTTAACAAGAAAATCCTACAACTAAAAAACGACTAGGAGAACAATGTTTTAATGACCAATTTCTCAATACTAGTAGAGCTCAGCATAGCAGCATCCGACACTCGCGAAAAGTTATTATTGCACTAGTTTTCGAACCGAGAGACGTCATTTCTCGAAAGTGCTACTGGATGATGCCGTTCGCAACTTTTATTGCTGTGCCACATCTGCCTCCCAAAGACTTTCACTGCTCAGATTGACGATGACCTACACATGGAAGCCTCTTACCACGGGAATCAACGACGGCAAACATGCACTGAAAGACTCATTACACGTAAAAGAGAAGTGGAGATAAAAAAAGGAAGGTTTGCATCACATATTTCACTCATCGCAGGAATCGATGGATACAATATCCCAATCGAGCATAGCAGATTTCTCCTGACGGCTGCGGTTACCGTCTTGGTCACCATCACCAACTACAAAGTACTTTTGTGCTTCAATTTTTTGACTGCCACTGCGCTTTCGATGGACCGGGACCCTCGGGTGATTAGGCTGTTTGCTTAGGGGTTGTGTATGGGGGACGGCGTCGAGCACCAAAGCAGCAAAGATATTGCTTTGTGGTAGGCAATACGGTTCGTCGAAGGACCTTTTAAAGGTAAAGAAAAAGTGCGTTGGAGATTAAGCAGATCGCATATTTGTTGCATATAATGAGAGATATTTAGGAGAAGTTTAATTGTCGTCATATTACTTTCTTCAAGTGAACTAGGACTTTAAATCAAGAAAAAAAAACATATTTCCCTCATTTCCCACAACTGTTTCCCAGCTCTACATAAGTCTTGAATTTCTTTGCAGAGACTGTGATTTCTCCTCAAAAGAAGCCGTAAGGTGGTTGTTGACTTCGACCATAAATTCAAATTGCTTGCCACCTGAATTATTTTGAAAAAAAAGAAATAGATGGAAACCTCAAGAGAATTGGTGAGTCTCACAGTGTTCCCTCACAATCCTCCACCAGACCAACACCAACACTTTTGCCGGAAGCAATCGAACCTGTGAATTATATTCTGCTCTTTCACTTCTTTGCTCCCAACCTCTTCTTTTTCCTGTTTCGCTGTACCCAAACCTTTTCGTCTCCAGTAATGACCTGATCGAATATAGCTTCGTTTTGTTGATGAGCAAGAATAAAAATGACTTTGCAAAAGACGCTGTTTTTCCGTCATATCAAAATGTGCGGAACACCCTTGTCGAGTTTGAAGGTGAACTCAATCGGAACACAGTCAAACTGTCAACACTAAATCAGCAACCCCATTAGTAGTAATTCGTGTACTGTCATTCATTACGCAACACATCTAGTCGTTTTCATTGTTTATGGTTAAATTAAAGCCACCACTTTTAAATCTACTAAGTCACTGTAAAAATGTCCCAAGAGTCGAATCACGATTCAAATAGACGTGTTTTGTTGCAGTCCCAGCTACTTTTTTCAACCCATGACATAATTTGACGGAAAGGTAACTTCATTTTTCATCTTGAATTCTAACCTTGTTAATTTAAATTAACATGTATTAGGAATGTGCTTATTCACACCGCATTTAGATACTTGTCAGCTAAAAATATGATTTTGGGCGATGCGTTACCACAGTCAAAAAATCCACGCTGTTCCAGTCAGTAGACATCGGGAACACACGTTTGCAAACACTCCGTACTTAAAACAGCGCAATGAAAACGAGATATAGAATTTGGGGATGGACTCAAACAACAGAGTGTGCTATAATTCCTACGGTCAACAATCTAAGTGGTTAATGAAAAAGCTGTAATCGTATTATATCTCATTTTTACGCAATTTAATTCGCTAGATTAATAGCCACCTGATTTGCCAGGTGAAATTCGTTTGTGAAAATGAAGCAGAAGAGAATTCACCCGATTCCAACGAACGACTACGACCTAGAATCGTTGCTAACAAAAACTAGAACCAAATGACCAGCTCGCATGGAATTTAAAAAAAATTGTAACATGCCCTGAACCAATTTTTATAAAATAAACGTGTCAATATGTACAACAATGTCAATGGTTACAAGGAAGCAAAGATTTCTTTGATTATGATATTGTTTTAAAATTAGTTAATCAACTCCGTACAAATGATAGTAGGATACGTAAGCCGATCAAACACCATGTCTCTAAAATTCGCCTGGATCTCCTATGGTCAACGAATATTTCAGTGTAACATGTTGAGAGCGATAAACGTGTAGAAGGCGTCAATCCGTCAAAACTTTACACAAATATCTAGGTAATTCAAAGGAGCATGGGAGAGCAAAAAGGTAAGCATTTGTACAAGGCTACAACTTTTCGAGTCAGTTTACGCAGTTCCTTCAACTTGTCACTTTACTAACTTTACTTTTGCCTTGAAAAGTCAAACCGTTAATTCATGGACTTTGCCTATCCCGTAAAGGTAAACAAATTTTGACTATTAAAACAAATGAACATAGGCAGCAAAATTGAAGCGACTATACCTTGACTTGAGGAGACCGTGCTGTATGGCGTCAGAAAGACAATAAAGTCCAACAAGGGGTTTAGACTGATCGAGGAATTTGGTAGAGGGCAGAGTCTGAAGTGCGGTGGATTGGTCTGGAGTGACGCTAGTGCGACCGCATACAGCACAAATTAGTTGGATTGCCCGACTCAACGTGTGATAGACTTTAGCAATGTTGTCACGGAGAGGCGATTCGTTATTGATGGTGTTTAGTTGAAAGAGTCGTCGCGTGTCCAGTGGGATCCAAATATTGAAAAGTTGAGCCATTGTGCGCTGGGCAACAATTATATACGTTAGAGCAGCGTGACTGGATATAGTCGGTTCCGGGACTAAAAATGAAGTGGATAAAATTCTGCCGAATGTCATAAGTTCGAAAGACTAATTCCACATGGGCTAACCTATTCCGGTAGACAAGTTGTGATTAATAAAATTCTTGTTACTTTACATTAAGGGCAATGACCAAGAATCCTGCTGACTGCGAAGGGAAGCTAACTTCTACCGAAATTTAATGATTCGTCAAGACCCATGTCTACATTTTTAATTTCAAGACAATCGACAGGCGCACCTAAGTAAGATGTGCTCAAACGATCAAAAATGTTCTCACTAAGCACGAGCGAACAGCTCTTGAGATTCATTAATTGATTTAAGCTTGACATCACGTGTATTGATTTTTGTTCATTGATTTGACTGTCAGTCCTACGTAAAGGTCACACATTCCCACATATTTGGATGTGTATAGATAATGCAACAAAAAACAGGCGGTTGCTGTCGATGAGCTGACAAGACATTTTCCCGGTATCATGAAAATTCGGTAATTACTTCCAGTTGGTGGGGGAAATAAAAATTGGTACTCAAGAGAAATGGTAGAAACAAACGAGCTCCTATTTACCGAAACGTACCAACCGATTTCACAGTAAAAAATATACTGAGGTCAAGACGTCGATAGAAAATATATTATAAACAAGACATCGATACCAGGGATAATATGTCTACACTTTTTTATGAACGAATGATGATCAATCTAAGAAATAAACAATTTCAAAATTACAAAAAAGCACTTTCTATTTTATTTCAGATAGATTGAATACAAGCAATAAAGGTTGCAAGCTATTGTATCACAGACAAGGTTATATCTGTTACTTACCTGAAAAAGGCTGGGTGTCGATGTTTAACGACAGTCCAGCAATTTTGTCAAATTCAGTTGCGGACTCCTAAAACGAACAACGACCCCGTTACGAGACGCTCGAAAAAAAAAACAAAGAAAACCAAAGTAAATAGATATAAATACCGCTGGCTTGATAGGTAAAAAACTGCAAAAAAGTTCCTGAACCAGCTCCCTCCGATGATCAGAGAGGTTTGCATTGATTCTTGCAAAAGAAACCGTTTTTGAAGACATAATATTTACAACATGTTTCATATGGTTGTGAAGATAGGCGAATTTGTGTCTTGTCGTCTGTGTTTCCCCTCGACAACAACGTATACTTGCGCGCAAGTTCGCAACCCTTCGTTTTTCTAAGAAATGATAGAAACAACGACACAATTACTCTCTGAAACAATAGTTGACACGCGTTGAATAATTTGTTCCAGGAGTTCCACCTCATGTCGGGATGAAAATGCCTAGACCTCAAAACGTTACAAAAAAAATACTTTATCTCGGCTTCTCAAAAGCGTTCCCATGTTCAATAGTCGGCAAACCCTGCAAAGATTGGTGCAAGCAAAAAAACTTACTCCAAGGACAACCTGCTAATTTTTCTTTGGTTTGATGCTAACTGAGCACGAAGGGTAGAAAAACTAAAAAGTAAATAAATTTTTGTGACCAAAACAACCTTATTTGTCCATCTTCACATTTCGAAGAAGAATAATTTCCAGTCTTTATGCATGTACCGCAGTATAAATCACTATAACACGATTCGCAAACGGGGCACTGTGATTTTAGGTCAAACATTAGCCTATTACAATCATTTCTTTTCAAAATATCATCGTTCGAATCATAAGCCCCAATCAAGGAAAACTCCATATACTGAAAGACAATTTGCAGTTTCGTCACAAACTAAATAAACCGCCTCTCCAGCCTGTACGTTAAAAACCTTTTTAACAATTTTACCAATATTTTGTAAAAAAATTGACAAAAAAATATTTTTTCTAAAACTGTTGGATTAAAATGCATTATATGATAAATTAGCGAAATAATATAAATTCATGATGTGATCATTAGCAGTTAAATCCTGCGCAAGTGTAGTGGGTTTTGTATTTTAAATCTAATTTATACAAATATAAAGGCACCAAAAATCTTGGGTGTGCATTTTGTGCAATCTTGTTATGGACTTTCATAAAATCACAAAAAGTTCAATGAATTTTATTTAAGCTGGCTGGAGAAAACCAGTTTCTACTGGTGGCTTTATACCATTCTTCTTATTTTTTGAGTTTTGCATTTGAATTTTCTTTATTATTTGGTCATAGTTGCAACTGAATCAAGCAGCATTTGTACAAATAATTTATGCCCTTTCCATTCAAAATCTTGTACGCTTTTCTGATATTTACGGCAAAAATGCATGGTGTTTGGAATCAAAAAACTGATATTTTTGAAAATGTTTTAAGCATCATAACGTTTATCCGTTACCGATTTCATAGAAAAAAGTTATATATAAACCGGTAACAAATGTAACTTTTGCATTGCCGATTTGAAAAAAACTTATTTGATATTTTGTTCCTTAGATCACATTTGTAACTTCTTCTAGGGCTGCCAAAAACACAAACACCTCTTAATATTAAGCATTAGATGAGGTACTTTGGTCTTACTGTTTTGTTCGACAATAATAACAATTATTTTAACGCTGCACTTATGTAAACAATGTTATTCTATCCAAGCATTAAAAGAACTATCCATTCAGAAGCATGGAGCAACAATGGAATTTTCTTTAAAAGCCATTTAGATCATGCACAGTAGACCTAATTTGATTAATGGGAATTAAAATTTTTCATAATGTTCTTATCTGTTAACGTCATTGCGACATTTCGGAAAATCTTTTTTTCCTTTTCGCTTTTTAATCTCTTAAATAAACCTACAGATTTACTTAGTCGTTCGACTCTTAGTAATCGATATTCTACTATTTCCTAGCAAATTCAATGTGTGAGAAAGGCGTTTACCACGATGTTTGGGGCGCCGCATTCACTTTTGAAGAATAGACCGTGTTGAACTAATATTACAAGTCGTAAATGTTGTATTTAATTAAAAATATATTTCTTGAGATTTTTAGTCAAAATTTGCGTAAAAGCATATTTAAAGAAAATGATTTTGCGAAAATCTTCAATTTTTTTTTATCGCATGTGCCATACTACGTTCTATTTACGTCCAATTAATTATGTAATTTTGTAGAGGTAGTTTTATTTTTTGAAATTTTGATACCGTGTTTTAGATACTTACGGGTGATTTTTTTTCACTTTTTTGTTCTTTAACAAAGTAATTTCTTGAAAACCTGTAACACCATTCTGCTTCCTGCTTTAATTTTAGATGATGCAGCGATAGATTTGGCACATAATAATGATTTGGAAAAATTTACTGTTTCCTAAGTTATTGTATTTGATTTCCTTTTTAGCCAACGATTGTGTTTTGTGACACGACTCACCATTGACCAGTAATATTCTTGCTTTGCTTGAATTGGCGTGTGGATCTACCGCCTCAATTTCGACCCAATTCGTCAAGCTGGAGTGCAATGTCTTTGGCTTTCATCAAGCGGGCTTTTAGCTTTAAGAGAAATGTTGAGGAGCATCAAATTGAAGATTTTTTGAGGTGCTACCACTCAGAGGGTCCTTTTAGTACAACGTAGTAATCTTATTTCTATATGGTCTTTTAGCCAACTGTCGAAGTATTTTCGGAAGAATGCGTTACGACTCTTGGTTATACAGAAGTCTACTGGGTCGATTATATTTGACTCTCTTTTAAATAAAGTAAATTCTTACCTATTTTGATTCTCGTAGGATCAATCACGACTACCCGTTTTTGGCACTGGAGTAAACAAAGTATCTCTTGTGGATCTTGCTTTCGGTGCATGTCCCCTGTCAAAGCAGCGAATTTTAAAATCATCAATTAAGGTTCATGACCTTAAGTAAGATTAAATTTATGATGGTCATCACGTAGGCTTAGTCGCCAAGTCTTGCTTACTTGTGTCTATCATACGCCGGCCAAACGTGTTCGCACTACTAATTCCGTTTCGTTTGCCAGAAGCCCATCAGAGAACATAAATGCGTTCAACACTTGGTCCAATAGCGTATGTAATGTTAGCTAATCAGACTATTGTAGTCTCTGAAGCTTCCATCGACCGACGTGGAAGTGGCAATTTGCATATTAATAAATATTGACTGGGCACTCCCTCTCTCTAAATCTAATTCAGGTGGATTTTCCCATACTGTCAAGCAAGAATTTTCAAATGACTTAGCTGCACGTTTCTACGCTTTACTGTTCGACCATTTTCTCCATGTAAGCGTGTTGTTTCAAACGCTTTCCGACACAATCGGGCGCCTGTTATCTGCGCCTGAGGCATCAAAGGCGTCCTCTGGTTCGACATACCACACTCCCAAAGGAAGCGGTGGCGATATTCATGAAAAAATAAATCGCGCATTTATGGATTTTCAGCGCGCATTCCGTGATTTATGCATTCCTAGAATCTGTCGACCCGTTTGGTCCAGTCTCTCTCTTGCCTTCGCCTCACAATATGATGCACTAAATGGATCAAGAAATTTACAAGATAGGAATTTGGATCTGTACGAAAATTTTCCTTTGAGTCTGGGCCCCCTTTCTGTTCAGTATGAATCACTTTCTGGTTCATTTGTTCGCGGTTGTCTGTGCTCATTAATTTCGAAAAGGATGCCAAAGGATCGATGTCAGTAAGTACCGTGCTTCAGCCTACCGACCTCATTCGCCCGTAAAAATACCTGACATTAAGTAGTTCATGACTTGTGTATATTTATCATGTGGTTTAATTGCAAAGCTTGGATTTTCGACGTATTTATGTGCTCGTGTTATATTGCGTTGCATTTTATCAATCAAATTTGGGCATCGTTTTTCAAAATTAATTGAGCCAATCTAGCCAGGATTGAAGTGGCTGTGAAATTCTAGCACTTTAAGGCTATCTGTTTTCACATGTCTTTGCATCTTTTCCAAAAATCAACATTTGAATGACATTTTCTGATTCACAACATTTATCTTATCCAGAAGGTAATCTAGCATGCATGTTAGTTTTTTTTTACCTTGGCGTCTTAACTTTGCAAAAAAATCAAATCCGTCTATTCTTGAATTGAATGGTGTTTTTTGCTCCGATATTCTAAGCAAACCATATTATATGGAGGCGAGCATTGAAATTTAGGCGCGGACCCTATTGGAATGTTTCCTAATGGGCAATAAGTCTGAATTTTCATGAAAAAATTTCAAATACCACGAGCTATTTAATTTAGCGCGGTAAACTAATTTGCCTTTCGTCTAAATTAAGCTTTTTAGCGCAATTGGTGACTGGCATTTTAATGCACCACCGCGGATGGATTTCAACAGTAATGCCGAAGACACAAAATCCTGCTGCCATTCCAAAGTGGACTGTCTGTGAGGCTGTAAGTTTTTATGACAAATGTAATTAGCCATCAAGCAGTCTATGTGCACAAAAATTTACTGCGGTGCATAAGCGTAATGCGAATATTGCATCCAGCTGTGCATACGGTGAAAAGTGTTATGCACTCAATCAGTGGTCATGCTGCTTACTTTCATGTTCTATTCACAGCTATACTACTTATCTGGTAAACCTAAATGGTATAAATAAAGGCAGACGGATATTATTTAAGTCGATTCGCATTCCTCTTCCAGCCAAGTGATGATTATACGCATGTCCTAACGAGTGAAGGATGGGTTGAAAATTTGCTGATGAATCAGCACCTTGTGCAGGCTGGCTGCGGTTTGAGTCGTCATTTCTGCGAAGATTCTCGGCTTCTAACCAACTCGGGTACGGTCCTATCCACAACAATTATCTTCGGCAGTGGCGGTGGTGGCGGCCTACAACAACAACAGCATCGGGATCGTCTTCTCGCGCTGCTCTATCTTAGTTCATACTTCCTCCGCCCCCCTCATATCCTCCTTCGAGCTCATGAACAACTTCCAGACCTAGGCCTCGCTGATCTCTACGACCTGGAACAGCGAAAGCGGAAGGTGTGTATGACTTGCGACTTTTCCAGGTCTCACACCTCTCTGTAATTTAGGTATTTTCGTCCAATTAGACTACGGACCAGGAAACTTCAGTTAAAGGCTAGTAGATTTTGCTCTTTCCGGCCGTCTAACTAATTAAATCTTGACCGTAAATCAGCTTAAACAAGAATGTGGTAATTTTCTCTCAGTGTGCCTTTTTTAGCCTACTGGTGGCACCTACCACGTGTAATCTCTCTATCAGTGTATATGTCACCTTTTATTTTTCTCGTCGCCACCTCGGTCGCATCGGTGAGGACGCACGTTTTATCTTTCACTGTTATATTGTTAACTGTTTTAAACTTAATTTTTTGGCGACTAGTCGTTGTTTGAGACTGTGGTCCTATTTTAAATCCAAATGGAATATAATTTATTGGAGGCGGATGTGAACAACACCCCTGAGTCACTTTTCTGGAGTCCAAAGCGGTATATTGTCTGTACCTAGTACGCTTATGTAGCCACATAGAATAAGGTATACCGGTAAATCCACGAAATTATCGAAGCAGCTATTGTTTGTCTCTGTTTTGCAGCGACACCGTGGAAGCGGCAATTACCGTCGTAAATCAAGTAGTCAGGTGAGTACATCTGTTTTGGCGGCTCAACGTAGTGGAGTTGTGGAGACTCATGATTCGGGCATCGCCTCACAGGAGGACCTTAGTGCCACCGTACTCCAAAGTCTTCAACAATACTCTGCCAGCGCTGGTTCGAGCCCCAGTCACCCACCTGTTGGCGCCTCCGCCATATGCCTACCCGGTCGTCTGACCCACGAACAGTGCCGCCTTGCTGAGGCCGCAGCACAGGCACTGGTCTCGCGCGAACGCGCCGCTGCGAAACAGCTTCAGCAAAACCAACTACCTATATCCCAACAACCGCCACCAACTACGTCTCTGTAAGCTTCTTACACGGTCCAATATTGCGTCGTTTCTACTTCTAGGCAGTTTTAAAGTATTGCGAATTGGCCTATCATCAACACCGTCCATAATTCAAACCTACACATTTGTCGTTGTCGGCAACTGCACCCTCATTCTCCGAGATTTTTCATTTACAAAAACAGTCTTCCTGGCCATTGATAACAGTAAACCAAAGCTGTGGTGATTTGACAATCATTCAAAGTCATGGTGCATAAACTCGAGTCCAATTTGTGTTTGTACAGATTGGTCTGTACAGCCTTCCGTCATGCGGTACCACTCAACTATTTGCACCAAAACATTTCGTGGTTCCTAACGCAGGGGACGTGTTCACGCATTGTAGAAAATATGCCCGGTAAATGAGAGCCAACCGTACTGAGTTTTCGCGATGCCGAAGTCTTCAAAAAAGTAGTGCTTCGCCGAATAAATCGCGTGTGTCACATGCAATTTAACACGTCTCTTACAACGGCTTACATGCTGTTCCCGTATTAGCTGTGGTCGTAATGTTACGGCACAGTTGGACTCTTGTATTTTAATTTAACACTTTTACACTCGCACATTTATGAAAGATAAATCACGAACTACCCATTAAGGATCATACTCAATAATCCAAGAAGACTGATAAACGTGTTTGTATGTCTTGTTGAGATATGTGACCCCCTGGGTATGCGCATTTTGAAAAGTTTAACCAACCTTGGTTCAAGCCCTAGAGAAATGCCCTATCTGAGCTCTTACTGTGTACATAGACGAAGGAGTCTGTCGGGATTGTAATGCTTTTTTATTTCGTCACTATTGGTAACACCATCATGAATAAATGACAGTTTGAACTTGTAGGAAAGCCATTATGCATGAGACCGATTTATGTCATATTTTATAATTGCGGCACCTGCAAATTTTGATAACAAATGTGACCGTTGTACGCAAATGGAATGGCGCACACGATCACGAGTGAAAGTTGGTCATGCCTGCTGTCGCTCAGATTCTAAACCTTCGGTCTGTCACGTGCTCCTGCGAGGGTCAGCCCACCTAGGTGTTTTTTTTTTCTGCAAGACATTGCTATTGGTTTACGCCCGTATAGTGGGTTGGTGACAATATGCTCAACCAGTTTCTCGAGTTTGATTTTCTAATCTGCATTTATTTTAGTCTGGGTAGTATGAACCTGGATTAGCTCTTTGCCCACCTCTTCTAACAGTAAGCTGCTATCAGTTATTTTTTTTGCGTTAGAGGCGATATGAAAAGCAGCACTTGTTTCCATGGCATGATTTGGAAAACTATTTCCGATTCGCCCCACCCTAGCTTATCGTTTCCATGTTTTAACCACTAAATGATAACGTCCAAGCCAACTTTTTACTAGATCTGTTGTTTTTCAACGGTGACTTGTAGAAACCCCGGTGTAGTTTCCATCGGCTCATTAAATGCTTGTGCAAAAAATACTCACATCTATCAGAATTGTAGTACTTAGCATTAAAAAAAGCATACATAGCACCCGTAATTCCGGGCCAGACGTTAAATCGCTCCATCATAGGCTACAATTTTACTTAAAAGGTACTGATTTTCTAGGATCGATTACGAGGTACCTGAGTTGACAAGACGTAATATTCTTTACGTAAAACCCTGTTTGCTAAATACTCAGAGTGGAGTGGCCAAAATAGCCCCTTTGGAATGCCTTGGCAGTAGAACCAGTTGAGTAACTGCCGTCTTTGACAGGCGTAAGGTTTAGGAAAAGTGTGGAGATTGCAGGTAAGTTCCAATCAATAGCTATTGGGAACGCAAATGTATACTTTTTTCACACACACACACGCCTACGTGTGTTCTTTTATATTCGTATTGACTCAGGTATGCAGATCCGCCGGCTTTATCAACGCATCGAGAGCATACGTGGACTGTGGGCATGACTGGGCGGAATCGCAACGTGGTTTCAAATCTGCTCACCGGCGTGGCTTCAGGGGGCAGTGGAGAGCTCAGTGGTGCTCTTCCCCACTCCTCCCTCGCCCCAAACATGACCTCGGCGTCGGCCTCTACAGGCGCGCCCAGCGTCAGTTCGTCGATCTCACCAACATCAACCCTCGCCAATAACAGCAATGAACTCACAGAAATCCCCCTTCTAATTGAGTGAGCTGTGTTTTAGTCTGGTCACTTGACTAGTTATGCGTCCCGTTTATGTCCTCTACCACGTTTTCGTGGGTGCTAAATTTCCCCAAACATTGTGACTGCCATTGGACGCCGGTGCATTAGCATTGGTATTTGCTAGGCACTTTCTGCCTTTGCAAACTGTGGAAAGGAGGTCAGTACTTTTCATATCTCCTAACAACAGGCTTCTGCAATTCATTGCCTCCACCCAATCACCAGGCGGTATTATTCAACCCAAAATTTGTCGCCCCATTGGTAGTGTGCGGTCTTATGATCAACCTTTACTAATGTGTGCTGAATAAGCCATGAGATTAATCTTTCCCGAAATACCCATTATTTACCCTCTAGGTTTCAGCGAATTCATAAATTTGCCCAACACGCTACGATGGTATGATGACCTAGTTTTTAATTTAGCAGCGATGTTTCTAGTCGCATTTGGCGTGAGGTGAAGACGTGTCATGTGCCTCACCTGATTTTAATCGTCACTTTGCTAAGCGATCCCTCTAATGAGTCGTATTAAATGTGCTCTGCGATACTTGATTTACATTCGAGAACAGAATCATATCTTCTCATCAGCCAGTACCTTTTTATGCGCTCGCGTTGGTGACTGTTGTTTCGTGTGATGTTCGGTCGTTGTAAATCCATCCTAGCAAGAACAATGGAACGGCATAGTAGCAATGGCTTCTGTGTGGTGCGTCACATCACAATAGAGGTAGAAGTGATCAGGGGTCGTAGCGGCGCTTGGCCTGAGCGATAGAGCACCTACATTTGGGATATGGTTGTGGCCTGGTACTATCCCTGATGAATCTTAAGTAGATTTTAACCCTCTAGATTTAAAATTCTAGGTCATGTACATTTTTGAATGCAATCGGTTTTAAACTACTTTGACTCCAGACCAAAATCTCGTTTTTCTAACAAAATTAAACTCACTGCCAAAGATAGTGGCTAAGGAACGTTCATCTGGAATCCTAGGACAGATTCTGTTGGTGGTTTATTTAATCGACTTGTTGGCAAGTTGGGAAGACAGTTGGTGCACTAACTTAACGTGATACGTTTTAATTAAACTGCACGGATCGAGTCGGCAATCATATTAATGATGAATGTTGTTCAATCCTCATAAAATTTAAGAAGACATCGGAACTCCCCTGCATAGTTTAACTGCCTTTCCAAAATCAGTTTTCATCTAGGTGCGGTGCTTTCATGCGAATGGTATGCTCGCGTAAATGTATGGGCTATTCTTTTGGGGCATGTCTTGTTTTATTCGAGTACAAATCTGGTTTCCAGTATGTGTTCTTCTAGCCTTTGAAAAAATGGTCGGGAAAAGCCCTGTCGGGAATGAGTTACGATTTCAATATATTTCCATCAAATTTTTTTCTGTAAATTATGCATGAAAATCGACAACTCAGCTGGTGCTTTTTCATGATGGGAAAATTTTCTGCTCCATAATTTTACCTCCGGTGTCGCTTTTTTACTCTTTTCAGAAAATCACCAAAGTTGGTTCGTTTAATACCTCAAAAAACTTGGCCTTTGAATTTTTTACTTCGAGACTCCTTTGTCAAATTTTTCCTTTTGGTTACTGGTAATTTTCGAACTACTGTTGTACATCCTGCCATAACAACTCCATAAAAATACACGGATTTATTTGTATAAATTCATGGTAAATAGCTAGGTTGTCGTTAGCTCTTTGATAGACCCGAACCCACTTTGCTAAACCTTAGACTCCCTTCTTTTATTTTCAAGCCGCTTCCGGCAACCAAGCGTATGCTCCGTTCTGTTCAAAGTTAGGTTATTATTCCAGAACTTGGTATTTCTCTATAAAATGATACTTTTGTGTAGAAAGTGGTATGACAACGAATGGGACAGTTGTTGGTGTCTCGGAGAAGGAATCGGCCCGTCCGTACTGGGCAGGAATTACCGGAGTGGCGGGAACGCCGGGTGCAGAATGAGCCCAACCTCACTTAGGAGTGGCGATGTGACCGTGCACTATGGGTCGTCCGTGGAACATTATTCCTTGATGGATAATGACGACTCAGTGGAAGTGGGTACCGTCTGTCACGCCGATATGGAGGCTTCGGATGACACAACTCAGAATAGTACTGGCGGTGGAGGTGGCAGCGGAGGTCCAGAGCTTACCCTACATACCCCGATTGGCGCCTCCGTCCTAGAGCACTACACCAGTGGACTTGCGCTACAGGCGACCACGGAGTCGGCTGTGGCATTTCGCACGCGGCTGGTGGCAGACCTCACCGCCTGGCTGCACTTCGCTCCCGCCCTCCTCCAACGAGCCGTAGCTCCACCGCCGATCTTCAGACCGAGCTCTCACACTCACCTGCCAACATCCTCGGAGCACCAGCAGAACGCCTTCAGGTGCTCTGCCCTTCTTGTCAATGTCGATGCTTCCACTGTAGAGGTAAGATACCATTTGTTCTGTAGGTATTACATTATTATTTGTAATTTGTGCTGCGTGTTTTTCTTTCAAAGTGACTTGTTTTAAAGGAGCCAGAGATGCTAGAGAAAAGGCTACTATAGACTACTAGATTAGCTACTTGATTCAATCCAACAAAATTGAGCAGAATAAAGTATACTGCCCGCCTAGAGCCCCATCTCAAGAATATTATCTAAAGAATTAAATGTATCAGAAACAAAAAAACTAATCATAATCCAGATAAGGTGTAGTAGCCCTTGGACCGACACCAAACCCAGCTTTCCTGATTGATGTCTTCCTCAGGACTTTAAGATTGTTTCGGTGACTCAGGAACCCTAAGTAATCTAATGAACTAGAGGACATGACAATGGACCGTGAAGCTTCAACTCCGGCCAAATCTCATGCAGTGATTTTGCATCCTCGCATAAGCACCATAGGTTTGACTCGGTTTTACCGATCGTGATGGGCAAATTGCACTTTCGACCGACCGCCACTTCTCACTGTAAATCCGTCAATTATTAGATTGTACTTAAGGCAGGCCTCGCCCTCAAAGTCCGCTCTTTGGCAAGCAGACTCAGAGTATGAAATTTCCCAATAAAGTGTCTATGTATTAAATGCCAGTGTCTGTTATGACGTAACTGTCTTACATTTGATGATAAAAAAGAGTTTCAGAAACCTTGCATGAACATCAAACCGATTTTGGATGCAATTAATTGTCACTGGCGCTACAGTAAGATGGTTATGATCCCAAGTTCTGCTCCAATTCACAGCTATTAACCGTGCGAAGTAGTGTGAATACTGCTGCAACCAACACAAGCAGTCGAACGTCGACCTCACCATTTGATTCCGTCGCATCATCTTCCCGACGTGCCACAGCTTCCAACCTCCGGTCATTCTCACCGACTAGCACCAGAATCAAGTCCGGTAGGACCGAGGTTAATCGGAAGTCATCAGTAACGTCTGATTCAGACCACTCAGTCGATGAAGAAAGTGAAGGGACACCAACAAGCCATTCACGAATTCTAACACCCTCACCATTGATAATAAGCCTGCTGGAGTCAGTCAAATTTGTTTACGAGAAGTCTGGGGGTTGCTCCAGTATTGCACTCCGGCACCTTGAAAGCGGACTGCAGAGCCTCTGTACTCAAGGCTGCATGCTTGCCGACTTACTGGTGCCCTCCATTACTTCACCCGACGGTGGTGTGGATGTACCACTCATTCTTAAGCAACGTCCAGAGGCTGTGGCCAGTATTCTTGGGTGAGTTTTAAGTTAATACATCTCCGTCTTCGAGACTAGAGTCCAAGTTTTATGCATAATCAGAGACAGCATGCGTGATGTTGAAGCAAAGGAGAAACTGCAAATTAATCGTTTCCAATAACACAAGTGGAAAACCCCAAGTCAGCTTGTAATTTCAAAACCTCCTTTTCATATTCTCCTGCAGGTGTCACCGCGCTGACCTTCCCCTATTGCTGACTATTGCAAGCTCACTATCATGCAAAGCAGCAGCCGCAATAGAAACATACGAACTTGATCAAATTTGGTGACACAACTGCAGGGAACCTTCTTCAGCCAGATGCACCATGTATCGTTGCCTAACGCGAAACCAACATGAGCGCGCACACCTCATTCTAATTCTGTACATACCTGCCGTGTATAAACTCGCATTCATTTTTATTTGCTACTTTTGACTTTAGAATGCAACATAACTCAAAATGTACCTTTTACAACCACTTACGTTTGTAGCTGCACATATATGCTCATAAACAACACCTTAGATTGGCCCACCCGATATTTGCCGGTTTCGACATCCCGGAATCACGCACCACCCAGCCTAAAACTATTGACCACTACAACGGCTACCTTCCTATTTTTTCGCCTCGCTTGCGAGTGTGCTTAGGATATGTAAGTTTTTAACCTTGCTTCACTGATTTGGTTTTACAAAATAGAAACGCGGAGGGTGTCTGTATTATATCATTGTTTGTGTGTTAGGACCCTCAGGCTTTTTACCGATAAATGCAATTAATTCATTACCAAAATGGTAATATGCGCATTTAGGAGTAATTGGCCCTTAGGCGGAAAACCGATTCCACGTCTTATTTCGTGCCACTGGTGATTTTAGCTTTATTACGTCGAATTGAGTCATGTGGTCCATTTAGTAGTATCTGCTTAGCCACACTGTGCCCTTAATACAAAGCGCAGAATAGTTTAAATTCCCAATTCGCAAATCTAGTGGGACCATGATTTGTTTCAAAGCATGTCACACTGTGACACATTCGTGGCCTCCCTCCACATTGTTGATCAAAGACATTAAATTTACATGTTTCGTTACTCGGTTAACAGCTTTGCTCAGTAGCCCACATGTAGCTCACAAACCAGGCCTTTAGAATCGTAGATTATATCCGGAATCAATGGCGCTGCTGAAGTTGTGTATCGTTCACAACGTTGTGTCATCTCTTGGGTGGGTCTGGTGGCCTTGACAGTAAGTGATAAATCACGCTTGGTTTGCAAAGGTAGAATCAACTCTATGATGCTTAACACGGCTTCCAGCACAATATGACCGGTAACGAATCATAAAAATATGAAAAAAAGCTAAGCAGAGGTGCATAACCCCGCTTCCACACTGAGTCAGCTTATGATCTCAACATAAGCCAAACGACAGCTAATCCTTCTGGAGATGTTTGCAAATTTACCGGTTTTTTCGAAGTCAAAAGTACAACTAGACTACATCTACCTAGGTACTTACTCACAAGGGCAGTGAATTAATAACCACTTTGATTTTGCCGGGCAAATTGTAGGCAAAACGGTACCTAAATTCCTACTCATTTCATTGACAGTGAATTCCGATACAGAATCAGTGACTCCCATGCTGTGGGATCTCTTTCGTTTGGAATTTATTTTGACAAGACGATAACTCAATTCTAATGGTGATTAACTAGCCACACGTCTCAAATCTCCTAAACCTGAGTGGAATTCCGCGATTTTACTTTGGTTGACATTTGGAAATCAGGTTAAAGCCTGAGGAGAAAGTGTCAGGGCAGGTAAGTACCAAATTGAGATTAATGTCCAGACATGTGAAAATTGTTGTTCATTTTCCTATAATGCTTTTTTTACAAAGTACATTTGAAATTTGAATCGGACAAGCAGCATCACCATACGGAAATGTAGAAATTGTTGCAAATACGTTCTAGGTGAAAAATGAGTGTTGAAATATTCTCAGAGATGATCAAATATTTGGTGGTGCAGCCAGAGTAATTATCGATTTTTTAGTTGACAGTGCAAGTAATGCACCGAGATTCCGTGCCTATGGTTAACGCTCCCATACTAATACCATTTTAGACGATGGGTAAAGCATACCGAAACAATGTTTTATTAAGTCTGATGGTAAAAGACGATTGAGATGAACATGTCGCTTTGCACATAGTCATTGAATAATAAACTCAGCCGCTGTGGTATAAAAAAATTTATCCCATGATTAGTTTGAAGATTATCAAGATGGTGTTCAAACCTATAAGCGGGACTACAAAAGTGCATTGCAATGTATTTGGACATGCTTACTTCTCATCACAGTCCGTACTGAAGTGATGAAAGTCAATAACCGCGACTTCATTGAAACATCACTTCCGAAATTGTAAGCTTCGGAACCCCAACCATCTATAACGAGTACTTCAATTAGCTCTTGAATTTGGGATACATTTGGCAAGGAACCTTTGTTCGTGGAGGATACAAATTGCGTTCAACACGAGTATACTGGCCTCCAATAGTGAGTAAAATCCAAAAGGCATCTGAAAAAGAAGACACACGGAACATGTTAGTGATCGCAGACTTGACCCTTTTTGAGTATCTCGGGTGAGAGTTGAAAGGAACTTTTGTGAATGAGCCAAATGGTTGTTGGGAGATAAATTGGATTGGACCATCTATTTAACCAGAGAAAAGATAGAATATAAGGTGTGGAAGATAGTGAAAGGAACCGTGAGAAGGGGAACGAAGCCTTGCTGTTATTCAAAAACGAAAACTAAATGACTGGAATCAGTGTGGATGATGTGTAATTGAGATAGATTTAAGAATACAACAATGAGAAGAGGGTATAAAGTAACTGAATAGAATCCACTGTGAATAGGTGCTTTAACGATTCAACATTGTCTCTAAAATACTGTGCAGTTAAAGTAAAGTACACATCACGTAAAACACCTGAAACCCTTAGGTTCAAATATATAACGACCAAAGGGATCTGGACACAAACTAGTGGTGAATTAAGCGAAAAATTACTCCAAACTTCGATTTTCAAAGTTAGTTTGTATTTAGCTAATTTGTGTAAACGACAGCCAATTACAAGAAACCCAGCAACGTTGCTATATGATAATTTGGGTCAGTGAAAGTAGGGCAGAAAATGTAAACAAAAACTTACGGTAGCTTGAGTTTTATATGTGGTTCTTTCTTGTCGTTTTGCCAAATATTCAGCTGGCGAAATTAATTTTTGTTAAAAACACAGTCCTCTAATAGAAAATCCCTAATCCTGTTCAAATTTCCCAATTTATTATTATTTCTGATAAGTTAAAAGTTAGTAACAGAATTTTATTTAACTCCTATATCCTAATATTTTTACAAGTATGCTTTTTAATCTTCAATGTAAAATTTACCAGATAAGTATTTCCAATAATCTCTTGCCATGATTCCCTTGCTGTAATATTATTGGATGAAGCTAAGTTCTCCTCCAACCAACCCAGTGGGAGTCTCATTTGTGCGTGGCTGTTTCTCCCATCTTCTTGTTTTGTGTTCTTTTGATGTTCTCAGTGGCTATTTTAAGTATTATGAGTGTTTTACTATCTACGATGTGACTTCAAGGTCGCTACAAATAAGACACAATACTAGGGAATAGTGTTTGTCTGCAATACCAGCTTACTATTGCTTCCGTTCTCAGTTTTTTTCTGTAGAGCGATTTCCGTGCAACACATGCCCATAGATTTGCATTTTTTACATTTTTGTTCTGAACTTTGTTATTTCTGCGTATACCAGAGTAACTGCTCTGCGAGTTCTGTTATTTGTTTCTTAGCATACTTTCTTGTTGACCAATACCACAAGTGTTGGTCACCTCTCTATTGGCAAGTTCCACCGCGTCTTTACAGTGCAACTTCGCTAAAACAGGTGTCACTAATTTAGTTTTGTGTTTTCAACCACATTCATGGAGTGGTTTAATCTTACTGATCTATCAACAGCCTCAGCATTTTCAGTTTTCTATATTCAAGTTGTTTCGGAAACTAGTGTTGATACACTTGTTCGATGATCAAAATCGAAGATTTTGTGTAGATAAGCTTTCGTGGATTTCTTGTAGTACTTTTGTGACAATTTTCTTGTTAGACTTCGTTGATGCTGTATATTTAAAGTTAAATGCGATTTTTCATTTAACGACTTAAACTCATGGAATCCAGTTTGATTGACGACAAAGTATCCTATCACTACCGTTCTTCTTGTTTTTTTAATAAACGGTTTTGTGATGTTTTTTTTTCAAATGCCCCTTTCATTCTACAGTCTTAAAAACTAATTGAACTTTTAGGCATCATGCTCATCAAAGTGAAAACATTGACCGGTAAGGAAATTGAGATTGATATAGATCCAAGTGACAAAATTGAGCGAATAAAGGAGCGTATCGAGGAGAAGGAAGGAATTCCACCTCCACAGCAGCGCCTTATCTTCTCGGGAAAGCAAATGAACGATGAGAAGTCGGTCAGTGACTACAAAATTCAGGGTGGCTCCGTACTGCACTTGGTCCTAGCACTTAGAGGTGGATAAATAATATACATATGTTTACTGAATACTTTGTTGCCTTATCTTAACGAAAAGCTTACGTAACCGAACCAAGGGTGAATGCGCTAAACCCACTTTTCGCATTTTCTTTTAGTCAACTGTTTGTTGCTCCATAACTATGCTATTTTTCTGAATGTGCATGTTTTTTTCCTCTCATTAGGGTTAATTCTCACAATTTCATGTGTTTGAGTAAACTCATCAACGTAACCTATTCGCAACCAATGCTTGCAGTGATTCGTTCGCTATACTTCATAACCATGTTAGTTAAACTCATGAACAAGTTTCACTTATGCGCGTTAGCTTAAAGCTCACTAAATGGCTGTGCCTACAACAGCCTTCTCACAAGTAGGCGACGGCTTGGCATTTGGTACTCCGTGTTATTCTCATTTTGTATTGTATTCCTCCAGGTAATAGAGTAATTAGGCGGTCATTTTGATTGCGCACCACTAGTTGGTTGGCCATGCGTTCAGATCGCCCCAGTTGTGGATTTGGGGTAACACGTTAAACGACGATAACCACCTCCTTGTTGACACAAATAATCCACACGAACTCTGCGGAAAGTTTAGCATGAGCAGCGATGTGGACATTCGCGACTCCTGCGAATTCCCGCTCTGAAGGGCCTTTTGGACCCTTCCCCGTTACTTAGCTGCCGCGTATTGTGACTTATAGTCAAGTTTTTGGTTGGGTTATCACGATTTGTTACTTCTGATGACGAGACTTCTGAACTTTTCAGTGCCCTCGTTTAACTCTACTCTTCGTGGTATTACTGACCTTAGTTCACTCGAAATATCAGCCCCTGATATTAACAGGACTCGTGACCTTACGCAACTATAAAATGCTTCTATCTATAATGTTTTGCACTAAACTCATCACGCAGCAGTTTATTCCAGTGTATTTAACAAATCCTTCGTACTACCCAAGCATGTTTCATAGTTGACGGAATGCTCCTAGTCGTCTAGCTTGTTGAATACCAAACAATGGTTGGTCAAACTAGTGGAGGGTTCCCACTAACTCATATCTTAGATGTTCTACTTTCTGGTTGGAAGTAGACGGATTTCACCATCGTCCACGGCTGCGTATGGATCTCATGTGCATCCTATATGTAGACATAAAATCTAACGTAGCCAATACTGAAGCTTCAGTTTGTGATCGACCCCGATATATGTCGACGTCATATAAATTTTATGCGAATGCGTGACCGAGGCTGTAACATTGCTCTGGCCTAGCAAGTACACACCGACGTGCTGCGGTGCCGTTTGTGGTGTGGCGTCGGATTGGGGCGCAGACATGTTGGACGACCTGGCCTCAGCCAATCCCGTGTCTCTCTGAGTTCCAATGGCGTGCGGGAAGGGAAGGCAGCCAACCAGAGAAGGACATGTATGAGATGCAGTATATAATGAGCGGCGTGGCCAGCGTGGTGGACTCGGATGGAAGGCGCCTGACGCGTGGTTCTGGCTTCTGATTGGTCAATAAAGCCTGTTCAGTTGTACCAGTCTTTTTCCTATTAGGGCTCGGGTGTTCTACAGTGGCGTCGGATTAGGGCGCAGACATGTTGGACCACCTGGCCGCAGCCAATCCTGTGTCTCTGCGTTCCAATTGCATGCAAGGAAGATAGGTAGCCAACCAGAGAAAGACACGAATAAGGAGCAGTATATAATGAGTGGTGTAGGCAGCGTGCTTGACTCGGATGGACTGCGCCTGACGTGTGGTTCTGGCCTGTGATTGGTCAATAAAGCCTGTTCTGTTGTACCAGTTTTCTTCATACTAAGGTTCGGGTGTTCTGCACCGTGTGGTAGCAGGCACAGGTAGTGGCGCGCGGGTGTAGACAAATTTGATCACGCCAATTTCATTCAGTCCTCTGTCTGTGCGTGAATGGCCACGTTGAAGAACAGCAGGCAGCCAAAAACATGGATGGCAGAGAGTTCCAGCTTGTTATTGATTTATAAAGCTAGTTCTGCCATACCGGTTTTCCCTATATGAGGGCTTGGGTGCTCTGCAGTACAAACCCTTGTCAACTTTGCCTGTTAAAAGGAAGGTTCGCCCAGATGTTTAACCTTGCTTGATCAAATCACGGCATCAAAAAGCATACGCTTTCCATGGATTATGCTGCATTAAGCCTCCTTATTTCGATCAAAAGCGCAGTTGTTATCAGTGGTCCTGATAATTGTGATTATCAAGTTTTACTCTCTTCATTGGATAATGAATTAAATCAGAGCTGCGCTGATCATTACTTAAGTTGTCAAGAGGAATTCTACGAAACCTCCATCCGGCTAAGTTTAAAATCAATATCTAACCCAGACGTTTGTGGCAGTAACTGACCACATGTTCAAAATTATATATTTTTGCCATTTATAAATACTTTGGAAGTTAACGGTTGAACTTAACAACTAGGGACTATTTTTCGTGAGCTGTCTCCGATCGAGCGTGACTGAAACCTTTTTACAGAACTGATGTTATCAGTGACGCACCCACATTTTATTGGTTAGTGTTATCAGTAGCCTCCAATGCACACTTAATCACCTGTAATGCGTAATGCTAATTAGCGGTTGTGTCCACTATTGACTTTTTTCTCTGCTCTCGTGTTTCTAAGGGTTGTAAAAGAGTAGGTTTGTAGGGCAGTGCTAGCAAGCCACTACATATTGTGTACATTTGGTAGTTACAGAAAGCGAAATGCAGTAGTCTTATTTCTTGACAAATAGCACAGGAGAAAGAGTGATTTATATGTAAAGAATTTCAAAAAATGTACTATTCTTTTTATAACGAAGTGGTATAAAAACAATGGAATAACAAATTGTGTACCATTTTAGATAAAGTTTCTGACTTATTAATTTTGACAAAAGTCGTTTGTTACAAATGTTGATTCCAAATAAATGGTTTACGAGGTGATTTGCTATCGGTATCACGGGATGTTTAGCTCTTTGGTAAATGGAAAAATTGTTTCAATTTTAATTAAAGGGGTAGCTGATATTTGAGGATATGTACCCATTTCAAACAAAGGAAAAGGGAGATACAAATAATTGTTGTGGACAAGTCTGTAAGTTTGTGCGAAAGTGTTATCAGCGCTGTGCAGACTTCGGAGGTGTGTTGTCTAATCCCAATGTATAAAATCAATGTTGGTTAAGTTGGCTATTAAGAGTGAAACAAAAAAGCCATTTAAGATTGTATTAATTCTTAGCAAACGTCCTGTAAAATGTGGCTGACTAAAAATTTTAGAATGCAGAGACATGTGGAGGGCACTTAAATCCAAATAAATTTTAAGCAAAATCTTGGTATTGCGTGTAGGGTCTTATCAAATATTTCAAGTCACACAATGACCATTTTGATCCTTTCGATGGTCTCTTTCACCACCGAATATGTATTGTAGCCTTTTGGTATCTAATAAATAGATCCTATCATAACAGTTATATCGAATCTTTGCTAGGTTCAACTTATCACGAGTAACAAATGCTAAATGGTGACGTAAATATTTATCACAGCTCTTCAGTCTGTATTACTGATAGGTAATTTAGTTTCAAAAAAACCGCTTCCATTGACTTCAAAAAGTTAAGTCTTGTCAAAAAAGATTACTTCAGGGCGATTCATCGTGTAGTGTTGGATATTTTCAGTCAGCTTGTCCAAAGAAAGCAAGAAAAGGTTGATCTTCCGTTGTTGGTCTTTGAAGCTATAGTTTAAACTAAACCCCACACTGGTTCTAAGCTTCGAATTCCTTACAAGGCATCGTAATGTAATTGCGAATAGATTATAGGACTCAAGTGGCCACTTGATTTTGACTCGTAATTAGACATTTTTCACACGAATGTGCACATTTATGCAAGCATTTATGAACTATCTACACATTATCATGCTGATCTGACCAATCACAAATTAAAGAAGATTGTGAATTTTCTACTACATGCACGACTGTGCTCTTCTTCCCGCCGATGCAGTTATGATGGAAGATAGATGCTAGCAGTCACAAGGACTTATCTAGCCATTAAAAACAGGCTGTGGAAGTGAGTAGTGATTCCTTAAAGAAAAGTCAATGCGCGAGACGCAGATTTTGGACAATTCACTCATGGCCTCAATTGCAAATGTTGTGGAAGAAATATCACGTTAAGGTGCTGACCGCCAAAACGATGTGAAAATCCTTCACAATATCATTACACACAAGAATTTCTATTTGTTAATTTACTTGTGAATTCTAGCTGCCGAAAAGTGATCTTGAACGGTCACTAACACATTTTTGGTGGTTTTCCATGCCATCCTTCTCCAAGTCTAGATCATTTTCTAATTTCCCTCAGGCCGCTCCTCGGCTCGTGCAAGTGCTGGTCAACTCTCACAAAAGAAACAGAAGATTTGGTCAAGGTGCTGACGAAGGCGTCACTGTCGCCTCGGTGGTAGACCATCGCAACTCCACCCCGTCCCCCTCCCCTCCAAACCATAGGCACAGGCTCAAACACGAATTCTGATTTGTGTCGGAGGCCAACAAATCAGTGCATACTGAAACAAAGACGCAGGGGCTCTTCTCCGCACAAGCACGGCAGCACCGGACATTATCCATTGACAAGATTTTCGCATAGTTAATAGTTTGGGCCAACGGGGCGGGTAAAAGGAGACCTAGGGGTGTGCTTGTTGTCATTTATCAATGTTTGTTGTGGTGCCTTTGTGTGGTTAAAGTCGGCGACATTTTTTCCTCGGTTTACACGGCCATCCCACGTGAGGTTATGGTGAAACGGGTCTTCATCGGGTAATTTATCATAATTTCGGCCGGAGTGTGTATGCACGTCGCACAGCTTGTGTTTGGGTTACTTCAATTCAGGATGGAATGTGTGCTTTGCAGAAAAGAAATCACCAAACAGTGGGTAGAACCGTTGATAACAAAAGAGTAGTGTTTTGGGCTTCTTCGTGTGGCTTCAGTGACTGTTCTCGCCAAGGGACTATGCTTGTTTATTTGTTGTAGCAGAACTGTCTAGGTGCATAGTTTCGCATTAGAAATGGTATACGTT